CGGGGCGTGGCCTATCGGCGCTCCATCGAACGCGGGGGCCTCCCGACCCCTCGCCCTGCCTCCAACGATGGCTGGGGGTGGATGACGTTGCACTTCGGTCACAAACCCCGACCGCCGTGAATACATCGACGGCAATGCTGCTTTGCGCGGTAGAAAACGATTGTGGGAGTTTTAATTTTTTTTTTTTTTACATCCATTCGTTGATGCTCTGCCTTATTCCTATTCTGTTTAAAATGGCTGTGCGGTTCGTTGAAAATGGACGTCCGGTATATTGGTTTCCAATCCACTGCGAACGCTACGTTAGTTTTATATTTTTATAAACTCTCGGAAAAATATTTACGGGAAGCTATAGAATATTGAAGTAATATTTTCCTCTCACGGATTACATCTTTAACGGAACGGTTTTGAAGAGCATTTTTCACTAGCCTCTGGAGTTGTATTTTACACACTGTTTATCGTTTAAAATGAAACGTTTTTGGTCTAGGTCGGTAAAAACATTTTTGTGTTCCAGCATTATAAACGACATTTTTCATTACAAGAAATCGTTCATAAAGTGTCATCTTATGGCGCAGATTATGATGGATTTCGCGTTTATGGCACAGATAATTGAGTCATCGCACATTCAGCCAATTGCAGCGAGTATAACGTGGGAAGATAGAAGTAAACTGAGTAGCCACCCACAGATCTGGAATACCCGACGTCACAATAAAGTTGTTTCTAAAAATTAACTTTGATTTTCTTATAAATTTTAATAATATATAAAAATTAACGTACGCAACTAGTTAATAATGTTGCTTTATTGCATTCGTATAAAATAACATTGGGGGGGGGGTCTCAATATTTTATTCAACTCATTTCGCCAATAATTCTATCAAAAGTAGCGTGAGTACGTCAAAGGCCTTTTATTAGGGAAAATTCTGTTGTATTCTTGATGAATTGCGCATTGCACATCTTCAGAGAAGCGTCATAAGCGGTGGCGAAACTTTGTGCATTCACTATGGCAACTACACCCTCTCTAAAACTTTAATCAGTAAATGTAACATCTCAGTAAATTAATAAAAAGTAAGAGCAGGGAATCCAAATGGAAAAAAGTAATCAAACCAAGCACGGAAAAAGACTTACGCACCGAAAAAATTAATCTTCTCTGCGAAGGGCATGTAAGTGTCAGGGATTGTGGAAGAATCAGGCTACGAATTTCGGAGCATCGGTAAGGCTTCGGTATGTTTCTCATACTCCTTGCATGAATATTTCACACACATTTCTCTGCATTTATGGTACAAAATATACCTTTTCAGTACGTTTTCCCCAAATCAAACAAGATCTTTTGTACCGTATGAGTTAAAGGAAATGGAACATTTGTGAACAGTGTTTCCAAGCAATTAAGCAAAAATAAAAAGCAGAATTTTCTGATTGCAAGCAAAGTTAATTTAACTCCATGAAATATTTCATGTTTTAAAAAGCGCGACTTCTTGTGTCAAGTTTTCTAAATATGCTCTAAAGAACATTCAAACATCAACACGGGAATGAATCTGTACCTAGAAATACATGATGAATTACTGTTCTAAATTCTCCACATTACAGTTCCTTACGAATAATCTCAAACAGTGTGTGGATTTTCTTTCTTAAACGGAGTAGATGTACTTTCTCGGAATCGGAATATTTTTAGAATATGTCACGGAATGAAAATATGAAATACTCATTCGGTACTTCAGAGTAATCTGGTAAACGGTCTCTCAAGAGTAAATCTTCCCGTTACATTCTAAGTATTGCTCTTATAAGTTTTTCGTGTTGGATATTACAATGCAAAAATATGTAGAGCTAATATGTATTACATAATTTTCTTTAAAAATCTTGAATTGGACTCTTACGCTTCAACAGTAGCAATGATTTTGTTGTGTAGAATTATATAGAGCCATACAAATATAAACAGAAAGAAAGCTCTGTAAATACGCGTTTCCAAAAAAAAATAGTTGTTTTTGTTCCTCCGTCCTTCAATTAGCGTTGAATTTCGGAACGAATTTTGCTCTCGTTCCTCGTTCCCTCCGAGCTGCCACTCGGCCGAACGGTTCACAGTTCACCGAGCCAGAAGTGTCGACGTGCTGAACGCGTCTGCCGTACCTCCTAGCGCACGTCCTCGTCTCCAAAATCTACCCAACTCATCTCACCTCACCGCCCAATGACACTTATTGACACAATAGAAGCCAGAGAAAGAGGAATATCAGAAATGCGGTGTTAAACAAGAGACTGTTGCTGACGTATATGGATGTTGACATTGGCAAAACTGTCCGAAAGTCACACAGAAGTCCTTGTTATTGAAGTCCTCAGAAAAGTCTGCACCATCTTTGCAACATCGCCTGCCTCATTTGTTTCTTTTTTCAATATTTCAAAGAAGCCGTATTTGTCCAAGCTTATATGGGAGTGAGCTGTGGCGTATTAATGCCGCCCTAGGGTAATATTTTTTGGCGTCCGGTTAATTCATTGATTTTTGATTTTGTTACAAGACAGAAAATATATAATATAATTACAATATATATTGTAGTTCATTTTAAAGCTGGATTTAATCATACATTTCATAATGAGTAACAATAAATTACAGTGTAACATTATAATTGCTTTCGACGAGGTTATTGGTTAGCATATTTGTTGATAAGATCATCACAAGCTATTTGAAGTAAAATATATTTTTCTTTGACACTTTTGACACTTCAAAACGGAAACGATATATCAGCCGAACAATTTGAAATAAGTGTAAATACATATACATGCGAAAGGCTATATCAACATTTGGAATTTATGTGTAAAGGTCAATTGTTCAAAGAAACTGGAAGAAATTCTGCGGCGAACATAACGTTCAGTGGACATCATTATCTAAATAATAGTTACACCGAAAATTTGTCGCCCCCTCGAAAACTTGCCACCTTAGGCACGTGCGTAGGTTTGCGTATTCATAAATCTGCCACAGTGTGTGAAAGAAAGAAGTACTTCAGTGTCCGTAGTTTTACTTCCTCTACATTCTCCCTTTGTGGTGTCTCCGCCGCCCCTGCTCATCGCGAGCAGCAACGTTTTCATAGATAACCGACTGCGAGCCGTCTTCCGCGTTGGTCGTTCAATTAATGTAACGACGAACCCACCCGTGTGCTCCCTTTCGCTTTCTGCTCTCGTTTGCCACCGGGACTGGCTGCGTCGCCGCGAATGTTCCGACCCTCGGAAGAAGATATCTTCCTCAATTTGATTTTGAGTTACTTCAAGTACTGTTCGAAGGAAATTAGAAGTGCTCGTATTGGGAGGGGAAGGGGCACGTATTATCTTAATTGAAGCAGCATTATCAACGGCACGTTGCTCATACAAAGCTGAGATCGTGAAACTCCAGTGATGGAAGTGAGTTTTTACAGCAGTTTGTGTTGGTTTTTTTTCTTTCCTTTTAGGTTTTAATTCAACTTTCGCAAATGATTTCATTTTAATTAATTTAGTGATGTTTCTAATCTGTAGGCTTCTGTGAGGTGTATTGTTTACCACCAATTTGTTTCATTTTCTAAAGATTGCCAATACTATTTGAGAATATGCAATAATAAAAACTTGTGATCAATTCCATTTCCATTTAGATGTAGCACGATGCGATTCATAAATGGTTGTCTTACCACTATGTGAAAACAGTACACTTGGATATCAATGAAAATATAATTTTACCCCAATAATTTAGAATGTTAATATTGATTACAATATTTAACACTCAGAGTTAACTTTCGGGAACAATTTCCCCATCTTCATGGGTCTTTAAAAATACAAACGGAAAATATAAACACATTAAGGAATAGAAGTACATTATTGCTTGCTTTATAGTTATAGACACAATGAAGATGAGAAAAGTATTTCGAAAGTAAACTTTGTGTGTTAAATGTTTTAATAAACATTAAAACTATGAATTAATGTGTTGTTTTTCCCCCTACATTTACGTCTTCAAAATCGGGGCTTTTGTGATGAGAATAAGGCTCATCTTTTCTGTTAGTTCTTCAATTATTGATACAAATGGTTCTTGCTTAAAACCGAACATTCGTCTGTCATCCCATAATAAATTTGGCTCTGTTTATTCGTTTAATTTAGTTTATGGAGTGGTGTGCGAATTTTAACGAAATGTAATTATTTGAGCTCTCCTTATATACATAAATTGCGTTGTAAATTGAAATGTGGGACATTTATATTACATATCGTTACATGTGTTACTCCAAAAAGAAAAGGCATATAAGAGTTAGGGAAACTTTTACATACAGGCACATAAATGTGAAAAAATCAACCAAAATTATTTGAGTTACTTAATCATGTCCCCAACTCCCACATTCGATCGTTTACATGTAATGAATGATATACTAAATTAAAGCACCTTCTGTAAAAAAATGTTAACTTCTTCTCTAAAGAAATGCTCTCTCTTTTGTCGTTACATTACCAGTTGGCCTTTTCTTTTCAAGCGAGTAAATTGCTGTCGCCTTAAGTAGCCGGCTTTATTGGCGCGGCGTGTGCACCGGCCATGCGCTCGCCTTGGGCCCCGATCTCCGAAGGACGCTGGAAACCTAATTGACGCCACACTTGTTTCTAATAACGCCAAGTTCGGTTTCATGTGTGCAATTTTAATTACTTGCGTATTTGCAATCGGCGGTAAAACTTAAAAATATGTTTATATTCGCGTACCTCCTCTATATATAATAGGTAAAGGAAAGATGACGGATTATTTTCTCGTTTAAGAATCCATGAACTTAAAAGTAAGTATTTCTACTGGATAAGAAATTACCCCCCCCCCCCCACCGCGATCCATGGGTGTGGCAAAGAAATTTATGGCGAGAAACATAGAAGTTCGCAATAATGGCTTATTTGAATTATCAGGCGCACAAGCGAAGCGCAAAACACGGATGACGCAACACACTTTATCATCGTTCAATATTCGGAAACTAAGTAGCTTTAGCTTTAAAAACAATTACTTTTGTTTCCCAGAGGACATAAGTTATGTTTTTTACACTGTAATGTGCGAAGTATCACCTTTTTGAATATTATTTACAGTTAGCTACATACAACTATCCTTTTTTAACATTCTATCACATTTTGTATGGTTCTGTCACTTCAGAAACGTGGAAAGTTGTGATTCAATGTGAAGTTGTTTTCGCTTCTAAATCAATTATTTTAAAAGCATTTTGGAGTTTCATTTTAGTGAAAAATCTTTGGGGTCCTAACCCTAAAATCTAATACATTTTGAAGGGTTTTTGTTCTTTTGGTTGATCTAGCCTTCAGAACTTCCCGTTTTATCCGGCACTGCAGAACATGCAACCTATCATTTATAAACGTGAATGAACATTTATAAACATGAATTTCCAGTTCAATAAGTGCGAGAGCATGCAATGAACATTTGGGGAGCATGCGGTGAACATGCAAGGGAACATACGGTCAAGATCCCTGGGAGCATATTGAGAAAAATGCAGGAATCGGGTGGAGCGGCTAATTGAGTGAAGGTGGATCTCTTCTGGTGATCCCTGCTCCGTTGTAAAGCGGTCAGAAACTAGAAATATAGGTAAAATTAAATTGACTCCTTAAAATGCTCGCCATGAGTAATCTACAATGCTGTAATGTGCATACAAAGTACGGAATGTTCGCCCGGGTCCAGTTTGCTTTTGCTACATCATTACTACGATGTACAAATCCCGCACGACTGCGCTACCGTTGTTCGAAGCAACTTTTCTAAATTTCCAGTGAGAATTCTATGATATTTTTGTTCAAATTCCTGATCGATACTCCGATTTTCGTGATCTGTCATTGTCATTCTTATAATTATTCTCCTTCATTTGTTAAACTTTTACTTCAAAATATAACTTTAATAGCTCTTAATATTGTTGTATTAGTTTAATAAAATGGTTGTGTATTTTTATTATTTATTATTGTGTATGATTCCAAAATTTTCCTCTGCTACCGGTGCGTCACCGTAATCCCCCACTAATGACCCAAATACTTATTTATGCAAAGCTTCGCGATTTATGAAGTTGTGTAGCATTACTTTCAAGTCTCAACGTTTGAGGATTAATATTTCTTACTTTCGCAGGTGCGTGAGCGGCTTCGGGTGGCGCTGGAGAGAGTTGCAACTCTGGAAGAGGAACTCGCTAATACCAAAGAAGAAGTAAGTATTAATATTATTTAATGACAGTATTCTTAATTTCATTCGTCTTTAAAATAACAAAAGCTGAGAACATGAAATACCAATTTATCACTAGCTGTTGGCGCACCAAAATATAAAAAGTATGATGTGATAGATTAATATTTCGTATTCGCTAAACAATTATTGTTTATCGATATGCATTAGGGACTTCGTCGTAATATTTGAACAACTTTTCAGGGCAATGTTTTCTAGGTGCCACGTGGTCACATGGTCATTTGATTAGTTTTCCATGTCCCTTTTCCGTGCCGAGATCGCAGACAAAGGCGAGAATGCAGCAATCGTTCCTTTGCCGAGGCCAGCTTTTAGCTCCCTGGCAGTGCGATCGTATCACTTGCCACCATTAGCGGCACTCGGACGTGGGAGCCAGGCGAGGAGTCCAGGCGCGCTTGCAGACCTCACAGAAGGCAGCCCCAGCCAACGCTTTCCTTGGCATTGCCCGTCCTCTCCCGTCCCGTTCGCTCCACCCCGTCTTCTCCCGTCCCGCCCTTCCCGTCCCGCCCTTCCCCGTGCGCCCTTCCGTCCGCCTTCCGTCCTGCCCTTTCCTCCGCCCTTCCGTCCGCCCTTCCCGTCCCGCCCTTCCTCCGCCCTTCCGTCCGCGTCCCGCCTTCCCGTCCCGTCGCGCCCTTCCGTCCCGCCTTCCGTCCCGTTCCGTCCGCATCCCGTCCGCCCTTCCCGTCTCGCCCGTCCTTCCCGTCTCGCGCTTCCTGCCCGTCCTTACCTCCCCGCTGTATGCCAAAATCTTACAACAAACCACAATACTCAACACTATCACATGGCATTAAAAACCACTACACATCCCACCACTACCTCTAAACTGCACCACACTGCCTCTTTTAAACTACTTCCCAACACCATTTCTTATCTCCACACAGTTGCCACCATCTAAACTATACCTCACCACTACATTATATCATTACACCCCACCCCTCCTCTCTTCGCTCTTACCCTTACCATCTTTTTTCAGAATTTTATTCGCTTTTAATTCAAAATGAGCTAATGACAAAATGCTTGATGTCCATGGTTAGTAAGCTCCTGCATTCGGGTCTGCCCCACATATCGCGCGAGAGAGAGAGAGAGAGAGCGAGAGAGAGAGCGAGAGCGAGCGAGAGAGCGCGCGCGTAAGTTAGAGAGACAGACAGAGACAGTGACACAGGCAGAGAGAGACAGAGACAAAAAGAGACGCATAGAGAGAGTCAAGTGAGTCATAAAGACAGAAAGATACAGAGAGAAAGAGACAAACAGAGCGAGACAGAGCCACAGAGATATCTATATATAATCCTTTTTTGCAAGGATTGAATATGAAAATACCTCGGCAATGCCAGGTATTTTGCTAGTGATTTGTAATTATGAAATAATAAATAAAAATTATGAGACAAAAATTGACTGTTATTGTTGAGATTCATTAAGATGCAGAAGTGAAGAGTATTGAAAATTATTCAAAATTTTATTATATTTAAAGAGAAAAACTAATATGGAAAATCTACAAGCATGAAAAATTTTACTCAAGAAAATATTTCTTTTCTATGTATTTTTCCTTATTAATTCTCTGTAGTTACCTCTGTTTTTCTACCAATGAACCATTGTCTAATGAACTTATGTTATTGCAAAATTCAGCTGCAGCAGTACAAAATAGGACGTATTATCCCAACTGGAGACGATGGTAAACCAAAGGAAAATGGTGAACAAGAGCCAGAAGATGGTAAAACTAATGATGGTCAGACAGTCAGTAAGGTATGTTGAATGAAATTAACTTTGTTATTCATGATCTCTTGTTTCTTATCTTACTTTTCAACTTATTTTCCTAAGGGTACTGTGGATTCTTTTCAGAAACTTTACAGAATATTGTGTAAATAAGCAATCTTTGAATTAAATTTTATTTTCAAATTCTGTTCCAAGTTTCTTTCTGTATTCTTTATCTCTCAGAACAATTTTCCAGCTCGTTATTCAGCATTGAACATGAAGTGATTCTCCTTGTGTAAAATCATTCTGTCATGTAGCCATTGCCACTTATCCCTCTCAGCTAGGAGTTTGGCACCATTGGTATCCAGTGTGCCCATTGGTAACCAACCCAGGAATCCTCACTGCCAGTTGAGCTACCGATGCATCTTATATCTAGATTTGGATATTAAAGATATATAGATTTGGATATTATTCTGTATTGTTTGTACTCAAACTTAGCTAGATAGATAATATGATAGCATAATGTAAAAAGCATAAGCAATATAATATAAATATTACATGCTCCTATTTTAGCATTTTCTTAATTTTTTAAATTTAATTATTATTAAGAAAGCGTATTATTTTGTCGCCTTTAAATATAAACCTAATAATGTTTTTACTGTTTTCTCTCAAAGGACTTATAGATAATCATTAAATTAAGGAATTAGCTTGACATTTAGAAGGATATCCCTGTGAGTTAATTATGGTTGGTTTAATCATTGTGACTTTCAGGTAGTGTCAAGATGTTGGATTAGGGAACCTGTTATAATCTTCATACCTATGTATTGTGATTGTGATCATGTTCATTCTATGCTTAATTTTTCCAAGTAGAGTATGTTGCTGTAATTTATTGTGTGACAAATTTCTCCAACCAATTTTTCTTTATAGTTATTATAAAATATGATTGATCATACATAGATAGTGTCATTCTAATCATAAGAATGAAAGTTATATATTGTACAATTGTTTTCCCCTGCAATGCACATTAAAAATGTTTAATAACTTCCCAGTGGTTACTGTAGGGAATTTTTTGTTATTGATTGCATTAATTCTTAATGATACATCACAAATTAAATAGCAGTTATTGATTTAACATCTATTATTTCCCAGATTAGTCATTTCTTCGCAGATCCCTACCATGTACATTGATTGTTGTGTCATCAAAACCAAATAAAAACTAATTAAAAATTAATCCAAGAATTAATTGCTGGACTTCTTGAAGGTTTTAAAGGTTAAAGAATGATGTGCTATTTAGCGAGAAAATAATAAGATTGAATTATAAGTTTAAGGGATTCTTATACATTAGAAATAGCATCATAAACTTAAAGGTATTATGTATGTCACAATGACTTCTCTTCTTGTATATGAATGTGAAGATTATGTAGTTAAATCATATTTTGTTTGTAAATGCCCAGTTGTTACATTGGTTCATAAAACCTTTAAGAGGTCCTGACTGCAATTGTTCTTCTTTGGGATTATGTGTTACAAATAGTTCATACTTTATTTTTGGTTACTTTTCATCAAATTTAACTTTTCTTTTTATAATTGAAATTCTTGGCACTCTTCAATTTGTTACCTGTATCACCAGTAAACCTACTCATGATGACATATTTTATGACTCAACAATCCGTTGCTTGATTAAAAAAAAAGATACATTTGGTTTCATATTACAGTGAATAAGCCTATGCCTGCCTGAAATTTCGTTGATTAGGAATCTTTGATTGCTTGATCCAATGCATTTGCTTTCATTGAATGGAACCTACAGTAACAGGGCAGATTTTTCTCAGTTCTGCATGATTTTAAGTGAACTTCAGTATCAGTAACTACCATGTATGGATTGCTAACTGTTCCTGTGTAGTAATATTTTCTATAACATATCAAATTTATTTTGAATGCCAGATTCTATATATGTAGCTACCCTATTCATTTAACATTTTAGCAGAAAGTAAACTTATAATTGAAAAGGATATGTGTGTTTAGTTCAATTAAATTTAAGATGTAATATCCAACCTTACTTAAGTTCTAGATCATGAATAATTGCACATTCAATTTGAATATCTTTGAATTAAAAATATTTTAAAGGAGAGTTATTAAAATATATAATGGATGTGTTGATCAGTTTGTAGTTCAAATGGTTTTGAATGTCTGCTGTTAACTGGCAATGAATCAGACAGCAGCATGTACTGTGCATCTAATAAAATATTTCAGTTTAATTTTCAGTAGCTCAATTTTTGTTGTTGAGCCATTCCTCTCAAAATTTTGCTACAGAAAATTGGAGTTGCATGACAGTCTAGAAATTTCTGACTGAGTAGAATTTGGATGTGTCTAATGAAACACTTTACAAATATCTCTGATAAACGTTGTAAATTATGCATTTGTGTAAATTTATTATTTCTATGGTGAGTTAGGAAATGCATAGTTATAATTGTAACTCCCGTAATTACAAATTTTAAGTGCATGCTGAAATTATTTCTTTTTTTTTTTGTACTTTAAGTTGATAATACTTGCAACAAACAAGATGCAACACAAGATACCATGCATACATTGTTAGTCATACAGTATACATAGTATATTGATTGTTCTTCATTAAATGTAGTATCAGAACATTAGTAAAGAGTGCTCATTTCAAACTTTCTATTTGGAAGTACATTGTTACTTTGTGATAGAGAGAGGCTTTCTTTAAAACTAGGATGATTTGCAATTCTTTCTTGCACACAGCGCCTCTCAAATGGTGCCATCGAACCTGACTCAGAAATGGCACGAGTGATCGAGCTTCAGAACACAATAGAGAAGCAGGTGAGCTGGTCATGATCAGGGTTGCCACCTTTGATTTTTCGCAGACCTGAAAATTAGATCATACACTACTGTATTCAAGGTTTACACTTATAATTTTGTGTACATAACTTTTTTAAAGTGTTCAAAAAGTGTTGGTGAAAGGAGAGTAGCGGAATTTGCGAGGTCAGACGGAAGAGCGGGCCTGATGGCCCGAGTCTCGCCACGTAAAATAAGGCAAATTCAATTCAATTCAATTCAATTCAATTCAATTCAAAACTGTATTGGAAATTGAAGTGAACATTACAACGGTTAAAAGAGACATTGATTATAGCAACACATTGAAGATGGCAGTCCTACTGCTCAAACACCTTATACAATATTTAAAGAGAAAGGAATGATATTAAACTGGAAATACAAAATTTATATAATTTCTCATTATGACATTCCATATAACATATGAACAAAATTGATTTATTTTTCAATTTTTTACATTTTTTATTTTGCCTGGAAGATTGTGTCATGAAATTATATTCTTCATTATGAAATGAGTAGCATTGTGTATATTCTTCTCTACAATACATACTGTTCTTCAGTGTCTGTATCAACTGGAATTTTACATTTCTTGTGTTAACATAAGACATTGCATAAAATATATTAGTCCCTCAAGTGATTTTTTAAAAAATCCCATGCATTTCCTTTTTGCAAATAAATATGCTGCATGTTTAGTTTCTATTACAGTATCTGTTTGTGCTTTTAAATGTGCATGTTGATAATAACAGCTTTCATACAAGTGTTGAAACAGAAATGTGAAAGAGTATTTCATTTGTCAATAAACTATTTGCATCACATTAAAAAATAAAAATAATATTAATAACAATAACAACAATACAATGTTTTAAATTAAGTTTTAGTAAAATTGTATTTTGCCAAATTTATTTCACATTGTCTTGGAAACTCCAAAATTAATCAAATTGATGTCGTATTTCTTCACTAGCCTTTTTTGAAATGTTTGCTGTATGAAGCTCTTATGATATTCTTTTATCATTTGTGGCTTTCGTGTTCTAAAAGCATTTAATTTGTATGCAGACAACAGAATTGGGCACATGGCAGCGAAGAGTATCAGAACTGACTGCACGTGTTTCTGAGTTGGAAGAAACTCTCACCAAAACACAAAAGGAGTTAATAAAGGCACAAGAAGCCAATAATAAGTTGCAGCGAGACTTGAGAGAAAATGTGGCCCAGAAGGAAGATCAGGTGATTATCAATAAAATGGGTAAATTGTATATTTAGAAACAAGTGTTATGAATTGTATGCATATTAGGTGTCTAGACTAATCACGCTTTTGTTAATGATGATTTTTCTTCCTTGACATTTCTTATTTACATTGTATCTTGTTATAATTTCTAACAGGAAGAGCGTATTGCAACTTTGGAGAAGCGTTATTTGAATGCCCAGCGTGAGTCAACATCTTTGCACGATTTGAATGAGAAGTTGGAACAGGAACTGCAGCACAAGGAAGCTCAATTGAAGGTGAGAAAGAACTGACTAAAAGATAAAAAATCATTATTAGGTGTTGACAACAGAATAATTTGGTTTTAAATAAAACTGCTATCTTCACTGTTTATAATACTTCAAAAAAATTAGTAGTTTATAAGAGTGAAATTCAGGGTAATGAATTTGTTCAGTCTAGAACTGTGTTTATAGCAATTAGTTTTTTTTTTAAATTAGGAGGTTTCTCTGTAACTGGTCTCCAGAAGAAACACTCTAATACACAGAATTAAGTTAAAAAGAAAATTATATTAGTTAGTGGTGCTACAGAATGGCACAAACATTCCCGCACTAATTAGTTTTCTATTCTCTTGAGTCGGCTAGCATTTCAGTTTTCCGCCACTCTTCCAGGACTTCTCTCGGTTCCTTCCGTTCACCTTGTGAACCATGAAGGGAATCTTGCTAGTACGTGAGCCACCAAGTCTCGCACTTTTTTCCAGTTGTCTCTGGATTGCAGCATAGTCTGGGCAGTGTTTGCAGGCGTTATTTCCCGTCGCAATTTGCTGTAGCAGTTTCTTCTTTCGTCCTCCTAAGCTTTGCAACTATGTATGGTGTGCATAGCGTCGTCGTCTTCTTCATGACATAGTGCGCATATCGGGCTTTCAGCGATTTTAAATCTGTATAGATATGCTTGAAAGTTCCCATGCCCTGAGAAGGCTTGCGTCAAGAAGAAGACCATTGTGCCATGGTTCCTGCTGGCCCAATCCTTGATGTTAGGGACGAGGCTGTGTGTCCATCTACCTTTGTACTCCAGGTCCCATCGGTTTTGCCATTGGTGCAGGAGATGGTTTCTCTATTCCGCTTTGATATTGTCTAGTTGTCTTTTTGACAGGGTTTGTTATTTGTCTGCTGTCGTTCTCAGGTACATTGTCCTCCTTTCCTGGGCTAAAAGGTCCGCTGGGGGGTCACTGGCCAGTACTAAGGCTGCACTGTCGGACACCGTACGATATCGTGAGATTATCCTTAGAGCCGTCCTTCTCTAGATGTGTGTGGATTTCCGTCGAATGGACTCTTTAGTTAGCGCATCTTCCCACACGGGAGCGGCATACAGCATTTTTGAGTGCACTACGGCAGAAATTAACCTCCTTTTGCTTTCACTGGGACCTCCTGAGTTCAGCATTAGCCTGGAGAGATTTGATCCAGTATTTGCAGCTTTTCCTGCTGATTTTATAATATGGGGTCCGAAGCTCAATCGTGAATCAATTTCCACCCCCAGGTATGTAATAAGCCGTTTCCATTCAATGAGTTTCTCCCCCAGTCGGATCACCGGGGGGGGGGGATGCTCTGCGGTTTGTAATCAACACGGCCTCCGACTTGTCAACAGCCATCTGGAGGTTTCTTTGGTCCAACCATCGTAGCCCTGCGTAGTGTTTCATTGGTCTTTATTTCCAGTAGTTCCGTGTTGTCACTTTGGCATATAATCAGTGTGTCGTCGGCGTAGCCTATGAGTGGAGTTCTTTGGAAGTTCGATATTCAGCAGGTCGTCATATAGGGTATTCCACAGGAAGGAGCCCAATCTTGATCCCTGTGGAACACCGCAGGTCATGTCTTCCTCAATCCTATACCCGTTAGTTGTATATTATTTCTCTCACTGAGGTAGTCCTCCAGGATCCTCACAAGGATTCAGGGATCTTCTAGCTACTAGGAGCCTTGTATGAGTCTTTCCAAGCTGCCAGAATAAAAAAGGCCATTTTTGATGTCGATCGCATCCAAGGCAACAAAAACTCTGTATTCCTTTTTGCTGCATTCTGCGATGGTGGACTGTTTCTGAGATCGCGTCTATCGTCGAGAGGCCCTTTCTAAATCCAAAAACTGTCTCGTTGAAAAATTGACATGGTCTCTTCAGTCGTAGAAGGAGCAAACCCACAAGTAATTTGCTCATCGTATCCAGCTGCCACAAAGGTCTGAACGATGACGCCGATCGAATGGCTTGTTACCTTTCCCGCATTGAGAATTAGCTTTCTGATGTTTCCAACCCTATATAGGAAATTTCCCTTTTCAAGGCACCTGGGTTAAAGGCTTTCAAAATGCATTCTGGGTATTCTTGTACAACTATTCCCCAGGGATCGCTTCGGCAATTCCCTCAATCCCGTGCAGTTCCAAGCTTCGGTCTTCTTCATCGTCATGACTTAGTTCGTCCTTCGTGAAGCGGTGGCAGAATTCGTCTGAAGAAGATAGTCAGAAGGTCTGCCTCCTTACCCAGCATTCTCTTGCTAGGGAAAAGGTCTTGGATAATTGCCTTCACCCACTCGGATATTCTAGCCCCCTTTGTGCAACATGTGTTGAAGGTATTAAATTTGCTCATAATCCCAATTGTAGCTTTTCCCAGGGTTCTTGTTCACATCGTTTAATAGGGCCTTCCAGCATTTTGTTTGCTTCTTTTAATCTCGATTTTTAGTCTTTTGCGGGCCGTCTTGTAATTTTCCCTCCAGACAGAATGTCCGTTTAGCTCTGTTTGCAAGTCTTGTAGCTTTAACACATGACTTGAAACCGAAGCTCTGCAATAGTCGCTGTCCACCATAGCACCTGATTTTCCCCCGTTGGGGCTCCTACGTCTAGGCATTGAGATGTCACACGTATTTTTAACGGTTTTGCACGTTTCCCGTTACTACCTCTTCGAGGGACTCTGCCACTTTTTATTACTTCCACCCCCATGACTCCGAATTTAGATTCGTCAAGTAATTTTATGGCATCAGCTTCTTTTAAGCTTTTTGGTGTTCCAAGTGGCACCGATGTTTGGCTGAGTCCTTCTTCTAGCTCGGTCCCAGCAGAGTGGCAGAATCAATGTAGCGGTGAACGCCTAAGTGTTTCAGCGTCCAGAGAACCTTCCAATCCAGCCCCCCCCCACCCCCCCCCCCCCCCCTGGACAATTCTTGGCGCTGGACAATCCTTGTGGTTCCTATTGTTAAGTCTATTATCGAAGAAGCTGCGCCCCTTTGAAATGTACATGAGCTCCCTGTGTTTATGACTACTAGGTCCTTCCTAGCCAGGAATTCGCAAACAATATCGCCACTGCGATCAGTTCTGCTTTCGCCCCATTCCGGGTACTTGCTGTTAAAGTCTCCAGTCAATATTATTTCACCTGGGTCTGAGTTCATGCTTGTCTCCAGTTCATCGATTTGCTTCTTAAATTTCTCTATTCGGTCGTTTGGGGAGAAATAGCAACTATATATTCTAAGGGTGTCCATTTCTACCAGTACAAAACCTTGGTTTGTAACTTTAAATTTAGAGACTCTTATTTTGGAGTTCCTGCAAGTCTGGTCGTGTCCTGGTAGAGGGATATGTCGTCAATATCGTGCTGCTCACTGACCAGTAAGACATCCACCTGTCTTTCCCTTGCCATTTGAATGAGAAGATCTTGGGCTGTCTTTCCTTTGCCCAAATTAATTTGAAGGAACCTAGGCATTCTTTGTTTTACTGAGTTTCCGTAGTTCTACAGTGAAGAAAGGGCATATATAGCTATCCAGCTTATGATTGTCTTCTAGGTTTTGGTCTTTGCAGATAATACATTGAACTGGCCCTCTGCAGTCCTTGGCCTAGTGCATGTATCTCTGGGCCCCATCCCAATGCTTGTACCATTGTTCTGGGTGTAAGGATCTAGGTCCTTAATTACATACACACATTAATCACAAAGTTGCTTAAGAGATTATAGAAGGATTAGGGTGTAATGTAATACTGGAGGAGAGAGAATGCCCCCATACTACAAACACAAGTTAAAACATTAATGCTTTATGCGACTTTCAAACCCACTGTTTTATTGAGCTCTTACCCAGGAACGCCTGTCCCAAGCTAAGGGTTCAATTTACTTGATTTATCTCATTTTATGGTTATGTAAATTATAATAATAATAATAATAATAATAATAATAATAATAATACTTCGATAAAACTAATAATATAACTAAAACTATTTTTTATGCTTACTCCATCTTTAATTTTCTTTGCAGAATTGACTCTTTAAGTATTTTCATTATTTTGACACCATTCTTTTCCTTAGCGCAATGCAAACAAGTTAATTTACTAACCAAAATCTATCAACATTGCACTTGGTTATGAACAATTTTCTCAAAATGAAGCAGGTGTACAGAAATTGATATAAAACACAATACATATCAATTAACAAAGTGGGTTACTTTACTTTCATGTACTAATATTTATGTTGGGAAAATTATGTTTTATCACAAAACATGTACATACCAAACATTTTATCAATTGTTTGGCCCCCTAATGGTAGAATGGAAATTTCACTCCAAGAATATCATAGATGAATAAAGCCTATTTCTTTATACAAATTTTCATTGAAAAATTTGAAGCCATTTTTGAAAAACTGATGCTTAAGCGTTTTCTGAAAGTGCACCAATTTAAACTCGCTTTACAGGAAACTTTTTTGAATTTTTGAGAAACTTTATAAGGAATCATTTGAAGCACAAATATTCCCAAATGGAATAAAACGATGGTTGCTTTTTATATTTCAGGATTACAGAACAAAAACAAATATTAATCATTGAAAATCACTTATTGTTTTTCAAAATATTCCCCATGAAGATCTATACACTTTTGCATGCGTTTGAACCTATTGTCGAAGCACTTTTGCCACTGTGATTGAGGTATCTCCAAAACATGCATTCTGAATGCAGCAACCGCTTCTTCAGGTTTCGAAAAACGTTGCGACCATCTGTTTGGAACTGCTTCGTGCGCGAACAACTTTTGTTGGATTTTGCTCATCTTGAAACACTCATACAGTCGACTACTGTTTACTTTCGGGCTCATACACGTAATTCCACGATTCATCACCTGCCACAATGGCATAAACTTGTTTCGAAGCACCGGAATCGTATTTTTTGAGCATTTCTTTCGACCAATCGACACGAGCCTTTTCTTGAGCGATTGACAAATTGTGTGGGATCCAACGCGAACAAATTTTTTTGACAGTCAAATGTTCATGCAATATTGAATGTATGCTGGTCCCACTAATGCCTAAGGTTGTCTCAATCTCACGATAGATCACATGACGATCTTGCAATATCAGTTCACGCACAGCACAGCACACACTATTTTTATTATTGATCTAAATACAATTTGGGGTTTAATATTGATGCAATCGTAAATTAATATGAACTGTAAATAACTTTTTTAGCGTGTTTAATGTTAGATGTTACATTACATTGACTTTCTTTGAATACAAGAACAGCATCCTGATTGCAAAAGGCGGTCCATTCCTTATGTTCCCAGTTGCAAGAGGAGAAAATACGTGCCATTCAGGAAAAGCTGGAACTCTCTGAACAGAAATTGGCTCAATTTGCCAAGCTCCCAGAAATGGAAGAAGAGTTGAAGCAGCGCATGGAGGCACTCACGCAGGTGAGGGTGCAGGTACGAGCTCATGCTGCAGTTGCAGTGTCCACTTGGTGGTGTGTCCCCTTTACCCAGCATCAGTAGCCAGCAGTGACCTGCATTTTGCAGCATGACTTCTCTTACTTTACTATGTAACACAAATACAGTAGTCCTCTTATATCTGCAACTAATACAGTCTTTTTACTACTCCTTGAAGAGATGGCAAAGTTATATAGTGTATGGTAGTGTAATTTGAAATAATCAGAGTATTAAATTTAATTTATGAATTATGCAAGTTGTTGTGAACATAATAATGGAATCCTTGATTACAAGAGCTAGAAGAAATTAATTCAAGTTTTCAAATTTAAATTTCTATTTTATTAAATATTCTTCATTAACAGCAACTCATAATCAAATTTGTAGACATAAATGGGGACAACTGTTCAGAGACTTATATTTATTAATCATCTGTGAATAATTATTAATATGTGATATTTATGTTTTGTAAGCATACCTAATTCAATATGTTTGTATAATGTAGTGTGTACTTCATTTGAAATACCAATGATGAATAGAAGCTTCGTGTTATTGTAAATAGATTGCTTCACATACCTGTTTTGAATTTTTTCTTAACGTAACCACAATTATTTTCATTGATGTTAATATTGATTGTTTATAATTAGAAAAAATATTGGTATTCTCAGTGATTCATTTAAATGATTATCAAATCTGAATTCATGACTCTAAGTTATATCATTTAAATACATTGTAACTTAAGTAACTGTAAGAAATTACTGTAAGAAATGTTAATACTTTCAAATCATTTTCTGAATATTTAAAAGTTAAAAAGGGCTAAAAATGCTTACAAGGAATCCTTTCCATTACTTTATGTTACTCTTTTCATTAAATGAGTGTATACATTAAAAATTAAAACATTTAATGCTGAGAAAGTCTTTTAAGACATTAGGGTAAACAAAAATTATGGAATCAAACCAGAATTTCTTAAATTATCAAATTTAAAATCTCATATTTTGAAATAAATGAATTGTAAAAATACTTTTGATTCCTATTCATTATTGAATGTAATAAATTTTGAAGTTTTGAAGTATCTCACTTCAAGAATTTCTTTGTCATTTTATTGCATATTATATCCAAACCATTTCACAAAAATTCACTCACAGTGACAGATACTTTTAAAACTTTTTTATATTCTTTATCATTTAAAAGCTTCTTACCAAATATAAAATAACAATAGAAGTACTTTTTTCGGTTATCTCCAAGCTTGGATCAATCCTGTCTTTTACTTGTATATTTCACAATTTTTTAAAGACTAAAATAAGTTAGAAAGTTGCCTTTTAATAAGATGGCTGTTACTCTTACAATTACTTTTTAAGATTACATTTCTGTAATTTAAATTAAAATTAATTATGAAATAATATATACGTACCAACTTCTCTTACTTTTTCTCCAGAAAGGAATGATTGATCCATTTTATTCATTTTTTCAGTTCTTTGTCATAATGTGAAGGATGGCACATACTTTGTAATTTTTACTTTATACAATATTCCCATGAATAGAATTTTTACTATTCATTGTGAAGCCTTGACTCGTATTTTTTATGAAAGTAATTAAACAAATATATGTTAACTGATGTCAGATGTAAAAATTACATTTTTCATATAATAGTTATTAATCTTCTTATAGCACATTTAATAAGTTACAAAAATATTAGTCATGTCATTTGATTATCTATTCTGATGTAATATTGTGATTTAGAATGCAGAATAGTGAAGATTTGTTTCATTTATTTGCTATGTCATTAACATAATGGCATCTTAAAATTAGTATTTTTTGTTATTGTTTTTGCTAAAATTTACTTTATATCTTCTTGGATTAATCTCATTTGGTCACTTTTAAGGAATGTAATGTTCTAATCTCTTCAAAGTCTTTGCATGAGTGTTTAGCAATTCTGAAATCTTTCTTTTAATTTCTGCACATATTCTGCAATTACTTTCTTGCATGTATCTCAGAAAGTATAATCAATTTCAGATTGATGTTATGAAAATCATAGGTATAAACATTTATTTTGAATAACCATTTGTGAGAGTACAGAAGGGAGACAGTTTTAAGCTACCAATCTTGATATGAGGTTCAAATAAAGAATTGTTTATTATTACTCTAGTCAAAAGCAAATTTTATAATCTTTCATTGTGAATTAGAATTGTGGTTTGTACCCCTCATGGTTAATGTGATTTTCACCTACATTAATGTTTTTTGAAAATAAAATCATCCTTATTATGAAAAATAATTTTAAAACATGGGAATTTATAAAACAGTGTTAGGTGAAAGGAGTAGTTAAAAGGCCTTGAACATGTTAATGTGTTGGTATGCTCTGTTGCAGGCACAAGAACGACATGGATCAGCTGAAGACCGCATCCAGAGGTTAGAGGCACAATTAGAAGAGAAAAATGCTGAATTGGTGCGCTTGAACCAGAGGCTCAAGATGAACGAGGAACACAATACTCGCCTTTCTAGTACAGTTGATAAGTTACTTTCAGGCAAGTTTCATATTTTTCATAACATTGTTATAAAAAAATACTGTGAATTTGTTTGCTTAGAAAATTTTTAATGAAATGCTTAGAAATATTTATATGTTCCTTGTGCCCTCTTCTTCTATTTTAAAGCAAGTCATTTGTTTTTATTTAAATATTTCACTTGTATTGTTTAGAATCAAATGAAAGGTTACAAGTTCACTTAAAAGAAAGAATGCATGCGCTTGAAGAGAAGAATGCCTTAACTCAAGAATTAGAAAAAACCAGGAAAGTGGCTGAAGATCTACAAGGTGAAAAGGTGAGATTTAATATTTTATATTTGTATTCTATGTAAATAAGTCCCTTCTTCATCTTCACTCTTGCATTGCAAAATTTGATGCTTTGTGCTTAAAGGGTGATATTGTGAAGGAGTTGAGTAAAGCAAGACTAGAAATAGATAATGTGAAACGGCAAATGTTGCAACAAGAAATCGCTTTCAACATTCAGCAGACTGATGCACTTACAAGGTAATTTTACGTTTCCAATATTCTTGTCAATCTTAAAATGTAAATATTCACTGTACATGCATTTCCTGACCATATAATTATCAGAAATCAACATGAAAAAAGCTCTGCACTTGTGTAGTACAAGAGATATCTTCAAAATATTGTTGTAATGCAGCTAATGAGAAACACGAAGATTTATATTTTCTTATGTACATTCATTAATTTCGCCCTCATGTATAAAGTGCTTATTCAGGTGCATGTTAATTTGCATGTAAGATTGAAACTTGTCCTGAAAACCAGCTTTTACAGGAGCCTTTCGCCTAGTGCTGCAGACCCCAGCTTTGTCCGCAGTGCCAGTCATTCCAGCTTTGATGCTCATTCACTTACTAGGCGTGCTCAAAAACCTCGTGTTCCAGGACTGGATGATGAAGCTTCTAAGGTACAGTTTCTGTATAGTAGAATTTTTTCCCCCACAGTAATTGACAAGAATTCCTTTATTATAAATCAAATGACAAAATAAAAGATTACTTCAAATTGAGCCAGAACAGCTCGTCCTTTCTTATTTCATTGTTAGTACACAAGTGTTCTTAAACAGATGCTTGGAGATTTTAAAGGTGTTAATTTTGGAGATAACTATAATTGCAAATATCTGGAGTTACAGTGATTATATAATTAGTCATATTAAGTAAATTATTCAGTGAAATTGGATTATCTGAAAATAAATCTAATGCAGTTTTGGTAATTTGCTTAATTGGTGATGTGGTATTTTTATTTATATTTCGGAAATCTGTACAAGTTCATGGGGAAAGTTTACACAGCTTATTAGCCAAATTTTATTGTCCTCCCACTCACTTAGTCTAGAAATACATTGCTCCTAAAATTTCTAATGTAAAATTCAATTTTCTTTAGAAATATTTGGTTTGCCCAGAGTATTAAAATTGAAAAGATGTTGTCAAGTCTTGGTGGTTACAAATTGCTCCTACAAGTAAAGTTAATTCTCATCATTACTTTGTAAAGTTTTCTTACTTTTTTTATTAAGAATAAGAAAATTTTTTTAAAGAGCATGACATTAACATGAAAACGGTATTGTTTTAGTATTGTTTCTTTTTCAGGATTCAAATAACACCACTATTTCCTTTGGTATTTCTTGTAAATATATTTGTTATATGTAAGTAATTAACTGGTGTTGTTTTGGACTTTAGATTCATGTTCTGGGAGAGCAAGAATGGGAGAAGATGCAACAAGCTCATGTTCTGGCCAATGTGCAACAAGCCTTCGATGTGTCAAGCGATGCGGAAGCAGAGGACAATGAAAGTATTTTCAGTGCTGCTGAAATACTGAGTCCCTCAGGTCACACAGATGCACAAACTTTAGCAATGATGTTACAAGAACAACTTGATGCTATTAACAATGAGATTCGGTAGGTATAAGTGTACCATTTATTGTGTTTCATTTGTATGTGATGTGCCTGTTTTGAAAATAAGAAATTGCATTTCTTTGAAGTGCGATCAGTTAGGCTGTGCAATTGGTCAGCACCAAGAAACTTAGTCTCAGCTTTGAAAGAGGTAAAAAGACTATCAAATCCTTATTGTGTTTTTTTATTTTATTTTATTACTATCTATAAATTCTTAAAAATATGTAAAGAAGGATTGATATCATTACTTTCATACCTATCTCCTTTTAGTAAGCAATCTGTAGGTTACATAAAATAGATGTTTATGCACTAAAAATGGAAGATTTGAAGAGGGGTTTTCCAATGAAAGAACAGGTTGCAATGGCTTTTGTGGGTGTCCATGGTGGTTTACATGGCAGAAACTGAAATATCTAGGGGAAGATTAAATGAAATGCCTTCATAATTGTTTCAACAACAATAAAACCTTCCCAATCTTTAAAAGTATAAATAGTCCCATAAGTTAATTTCAATAACTAATTCAAAACAATTATTTACAACTTGTAAGTTCTATTCTTTCGAAAAGTAAACCACTTTGCCATCCTGCATTTCTCTGTGGTAATCAATGCTGATGTGTTACAGAAGACATAAAGAGACATTGCATAGAACATTTCAAAATTTTTAAATGAGTGTGTCTTAATTCATATCAATTGTGTATATTCTAATTCAGTTATTCTGTTTCCTTTTGAATTTCTCTTTCTCTCTGCATTTCCTCTCCCAGATGTACTTTGATTCTCATAAAATTCTAATTGATTCTCATAAACTTGATTTGAAAACTTACATTTACGTCAAGTTGTAATTTATGAAAATTTTATGTAATAATGCTGCTTGATTAAAGTTCGTAATGTTTCTTGAAGATCCAGTGTACTATTTTATGTGTAATAGAAGGTTTTTATAAATATTTGTTTGAAGAGTGATTTAGTTGAGCTGTAATACTTTTCTAACTTTATTGTGAGAATGAGGAACTCATGATAAATTTACGTGCAGATTGATTCAAGAAGAAAAGCAAAGTACAGAAGCTCGAGCTGAGGAACTTGAATCACGTGTTGGTAGCCTTGAACATATGAACCTGCTTGTGCGTGGCCGAAGTTTTGAACGATCTTCTCCTCCCTTGAGTGGCCGCTCAACTCCAAAGTCTCACCATTCACCTCAGCGAGACTACCTCCACAAGTACCACACGGTAGGATTCACCCGTTTTTGTAGACCTTGTTTGTTTTTCACTTTCACGGATTGCACTAAGTGTTGGCAATGCTGGTGTCTTAGTGGTCTTGGATGTTGTCTCCTTTCACCACAAAAGTGCCACATTTAAATCCTAGGAAAAACATCAAGTAAACATTTAGTGGGTGTATCAAATTGTATTTCTTGAAAACTTCATAAAACATGCGATTTAGTATGATTTAATGTAAATGAGAGTATGTAATTGCTCTGGATTTACCTGGAATGTATCAAATATTGAAGCCCATTTTTGGTTTTAGTTTTTTATTTGTTTTAAGCATGTACTTGGTTGTGACAAGGGAGCTTTAGGGGATACGAATTTATTGCAAATATTGCATTCCAGAAAGTAATTTGGAGGAAGGTACTTTGTCAGTGTGCTTTCTCCCTATTAAGCCTTTATTATTACCTTTTTATCTATTTCATCATATGTCTGAATGTACATATGCATGCATAAAACATGGGAAGGTGACACTGATCTTTCAACATAATGGCTAAATATTTTCTATAATTCTGTAACCTTATTAAACACGTATATGAGTGACATGAATAATATTATATGATTATAGAAATTAACTTTTTATTGGTTAATGGGAGCCTCTCACTTCAATTACAGATCCTGTATCAATGGTGTCGAGGGAATGCTTATTGTAGTCCCTATTTTTATCAACTTCTTTAGATGATATTTACATTGTATTGGTTTGCAAGACTGAAGCTTCTTAGTGTGTGCATTTTTCTGGTTTCATTTGACATTATTTTTCCACTTTCTAATAATTATTTTATTCTCTCTCTCTGAACTCTGTGCAAATTGCTGCCATCACAAGCAATGTGTTTCATTGCTTTTGTGTTGGGAACAAAGTCATGGGGATGAGCTGGATGGACTGGACTGAATTAGCTCGTGGCACTTGGGTGTTGTGGTGACGCAGCTGTGTTTTTCTAGGCCCCTGCCTCTATGTCACCGGCTCACCTGCATCAGTATGCCTCCACCTTGAGCCCGGGACAACTTTCAGAGTCATTGCCTGCTAGCCAGGTTCGTACTCTCCTCTTTCTCTCAGTCTTTTCTGGCTGTTTCTTACTCCCTCTGCCTTATGTGTGCATGGCATGATTCACAGCTCTGCAAGCTAGCACTCTTATTCAAAGGGGTTGACAGGATGTACCAGGATGTGATAACCTTTATTGGTATGTATCATACTTTACATTGAGAATCTTGACTGTGCTACTGGATTGTGCATATGTTCATGCATTGCTGTATGTCTGAGCGCATCCACTCATTTTATGTGGTAAATCTATCAAATGTTTTATCATTATGTGTAAAAGTATTGGTAAACTATTAATATCCATAAATTATGTGTATGAAATGAAATAGTACATCGAGAGTGAAAACACCTAGCTTACGAAAATGGTCTGGAGGTTAGAAATATAGGAAGGAGTACAAAGAATTGAAACCACACCAACTGATCGCTACCCCAATGTTTTGAGAAGAAATGCATGGAAAAGAATGTTCAAAATTCCATACACAGCGATATATGGAAAATTATACATTATTCTTACAAGAAGTTAAATTCTTGGGTATTTGAAAAATTATACTGTACTTCAACATCAAAAATGTCCCTTTGGAAAATTTACTTTTTTAAGGCTGGACTTACGTGAAGTCTTCACTAATAAGCTTCAAAGAAAAAGACTTGAGTATTTCTTTCGTCAATTTCTTAACTGTTAACATTAACTGTTAAATTATTTCTTTCTTTCTTTTGCCCAAATAATCATTTTGTATGCACCTTTGTTATGAAATAATTTTCCTCTCATTTAATTTATTTTACTTTATCAAATATTGTATCTCGTATACTTTTATATTTATGTGAATCATAAAATATAATTTTTAACATTCAGTGTAGCTTACTTAAGATGTTTCCTTCAAATATTTCTTGAACCATTGTAGATATTGAGGAGCAGTTTTTACTAAAACTAATGTATGCAAGGGGTACATAAAATGATGTAGGATATACAATTACAACTTCTTTTATTTTAATAGATATTGACACAACTTTCTTTTCTTTTAATTGAACCTTGTAGATTTCCTTGGCTGATGATAGCGAATATGAGTGTGACAAGTTAAAACTTATGCATATTACATTTGTAACAAAACAATAGTTTTGAAAAATTTAGTTTTGATAACTACATCAATAATCAAATGTCAAATAATATTCTGCCATTCTTGTGGAGAAACACAACTTTTTCATTCCAAACATCCATTCTTGTAGCTCTGTTCAGCTAACGGTCTGAACTGTGATCTCTGAGACATGGTCCCCTGTTGTAAAGACATAGAATTATGCTCACCACTACTCTAAAAGGTAGTTTTTAAAACTGCTTTTGAGTGCCACATCAAATGTGTCAGATGTCAACAATGGTATATAATATTACTTTCAAAATGTTAACAAACAAAATATTGTATTCTTCATTTTGTAATTTATCATTTATTGCTAAAAATTTCAATAGATCAATTTAAATTGGTGGTATTACAATAAGATAAGTTTTGATTTCGGTGTTTTTTCTGTAATTTATATTATTAAATATTTTGTGGTTGATGGTATAGTAGTGGTTGTCAGAAAGTTAATGAGACTGAAAAATATTTTAAAATATGGTGCTACAATACCATGTACTTTCTTGAATTATTTGTAACTGTTGCAATTTTTGGAAATTTAGAGAATTCAAACATATTGAGGACTGCACCGTTTTTTAGGCTTCCTCTGTTCTCTCCTAGGGGGGGAGTATTAATTAAAAATTTAGATCTGTTTTTGAAATTTTTGAAAATGTAGTCAAGACTTCATGTAAAGTACCCCCAAAACTCAAAATAGGACTTATGAGTTCAACCAGATAGATGGGGACTATCTATTATCAAGAAAATCATTTGAATAGTGTAGGCATGATGTAGATAACATTATGGGTGATTTACTTTATATATAATTATTACATATTAATGATAAATTACATAATATGTAAATGATATCAGAGAGACATTATTTACATATTCTGACTTTTTGAAGTAAACCAGTTTTTCTGTATCAAGAACCCACAAAATGTTGATTCTGATTACTTAACTTGTTAGAGGAAGTGATATGCTACATCAAGGAACACTTTTTATCCATTTTTTCAGTATCAGAACATCACAATGTGAGTTTTGTGATGAAAAATCACCACAGCAAATATACAAAATTTCCGCTGCAGCATTACAATACCTTCTCTTTACTATGCAATTACATAGTATGGTAGAAATGTAAAATTTGAAGATGATTGTATCTTTCCGAAACTAAAAATATTACGAACAATATCTCTGCAGCTTATTACTTCTCTCATCATTCTGTATTGTTTGGCAGAATCTGCATTCTGTTATCACAAACCATTTAGATCTTATGGAGGATAGCCAATGTTTGTGTAGTGAATGCAAATCATTTCTACATTTTGCTCTTTG